GAATTAGAGAGGGCGGGAGGGAGTTATCTCCAAGAAAGAAATATGTACGTATGTCTATCTCTATGTGCTCATCTATTAGGAGTTACTCCCAAGAAAGATATGTATTTATCTATATCTATCTCTATGTGCTCATCTATTAGTTTCCAATAAGAGAGGGAGAAACATAATCAGATTTGCTTTCCATTGCGCCTACAATTTAAAACAAATTAAGCAAAATTTGTTGGCTTGCAAATATACTTATTGTTATTTTCACCATTACAAATATCTACTGATAGATTGGTTTGTAATAGCTTCTTATGAGTGCAGATATGTCATAATTCATTGAAATTTAACTCCTAATTCTGTTATTTTAGGCAAGCGGTCTTTGTTCTCATACTTTATCCATCCTTGTGAACGATTCTCCTGGAGTTCTCAACATTGTCACTGGAGTATTTTCTAGGAGGGGCTACAACATTCAGGTTTCTGCTACTCAAATATTTCTCTATGCTGGTGTGTGTGGATGTGCATATTCGCGTGCATATGCACAAGAGGAAGGTTGCATTGTCTAATTATTTGTATTAGAGCTTTATTTTCATGTCACTGGCCTTGTTCTTTGCAGAGTCTTGCTGTTGGTCCAGCTGAGAAGGAAGGAATCTCTCGGATTACGACTGTTGTTCCTGGGACCGATGAATCTATTGGCAAGTTAGTCCAGCAACTTTACAAGCTTATTGATGTGCATGAGGTGAATATTTAATGATATATTATTTAACCAATTATATGCCGGGATTAAGGTTTATGTTTAAATAAAAGTTTTGTTTCTCTCTCAGGTCAAAGATTTGACACACATGCCTTTTGCTGAAAGAGAACTGATGCTAATAAAAGTTGCTGTCAACACTACTGTTAGGAGGGACATCCTAGATATTGCTGACATTTTCCGAGCAAAAGCTGTTGATGTATCTGGTCATACAGTCACACTTCAGGTTGGCCTTTTTGAAACTTAGGATTCCTTTTGATTTAAACTGCATGCTGGTCAAGATACTCTTGCATGTCTTCCATGAATGTAAGTTTCGCCGTGACGTGTATCACTTAACATGGCATCAGCTCTCAAGTATTGGCCAATTGTCTAGATTTTCTTGGTCGGCTAATCAATTACCTAGATTTTTTTGTTCTTCAATTTACTTGATCTATTCAGTGTTCCATTTGCCTTTTGTTTTACAAAAGATGATATTGATATACATTAAGAAGGTTCGATGCATATGTCTCTAGATCAGGTGACATGAGTCGGTCTTCTCCATTCAGCTCAATGAAAGGGCCAGGTTCTTTTCACATTAACGATTCATAGGTAAGTTTCCTGAAATGTAATCTGTAATAATCGGACGACATGCGCCATCATTAAGCAATTGAACAAGGAAGGAATTATTTCTTGAAACAGGCTTCCCGTATCCACTTATTGAATCATGTTTTTTTCCCTAGTCTTCTGTTACATGTTAACTTGCCCCTCTATTATCGAGTGATTTGACTCTTATATCCTTTTCTTAGAAAAGGGGCAGGCTTTCGATTGTTCTTTCACTAGAAGAAATGAAAAGTTGTTGCTACATAATAATACGAAGACCAGCATCTCCACAGAGGTTCCAACAAAATAAACCAATTTATAACCATGAATCATCCAATGGGTTACCAAGCTGAATATTTCTTGCAAGAGTGAAGTCATATCTTCAAATATCCGTCCTCTTGTCTACTTCTACGGGCGCTTCTCCTTGCTGGATTTTGCTCAGAACTTCCTCATGTATGTTGATATGCCTGTAGTACTGTTGAGTTGATTCTCCTTTAACCTGTCCAAAAATCTGAATCTTCACACACTCATTTCTCACCTTAGCGTTCCTAATTCCCCATATATCTGGATTCTAGATTGTAAGTTAATTTGCAAATTACCTTCTTTTTTGCTTTTGACCTTCTTTACTTCTCTGTATTAATGACTTGAGGGGCTTGTGTGTCTCATTATCGACCGGCATGGATATTTTCTCTCATTGTTGTCTCTTAAATTTCTCCTTCCCTAGTGTGTAGAGCATCTCGCACAACTTCTCCATCTCATATTATTTTACTCTCCTCCTTTCATTAACTTCTTTTTATGGTCAGACTAGTATTTTTCTTATCATTAGCGAGCAAATTATTCCATCAAAATCCTCAAAGTGGAGGTTTTAAAGTGGTTTAAACACTATCATGGTTGGTGCTTATAATAAACTAGAGTCACATAAAAAGCTTGGATATTATAAAGGCTCAGTACCAAAATTTAAGCGTCTTGAAGTTCATTGTTATTTGTGAATTATTGTTCATATATGCTATAATGCATGGTTTCATGTAACATATTACAAAAAATGGTTGATCATTTCATCTGTTTAGGTCCGCTACATTGAAAGAACTGTGCAATGCTGTTTCATCAGGTTAAGAATTTAAACTTAAGCCCCTAGTATTATTGAAGGACGTAGCATGTTCCAGGATAAACATGTTTACAAATCAGCATGATCTGGGTGTAGCCCTGTTAGGGAAAACTCTGAACCTGTTTGGGGATTTTGGCATCCGTATTGTATCTTTCGTTGTAAATTTTATGTGCAAACATCTTCATGTTTTTTATGTATAATAATTTTTTTTATGTATACTTATATGTATACAATTCTCCAACTAAACCTTATAGTGGAATTTCTTTATTTAAATCTAGCTTACTGGAGATTTTGACAAGATGGTCGCGCTTCAGCGGTTGTTGGAACCCTATGGAATCTGTGAGGTTTGTTTCTCAACTCGAATAATTTGTATTAATATCTATATACTGTAGAAATTTAACTTAAGAGTTTTCATTACTTTGAAACTCTTTAAAAAATGTTTGGTCAATCACCCTTCTTGATTTTCCCCCCTCTATTCCATATGCACTACAGTTGACGAACTACCAGATATATTACTCTGACAAAAGCAGATTCGTTAATATGGTTTTATTTAGCATTCATGTTCTAGCAGTCATCATAGGGAAATTATGTAGTTCTTGTTGTTGCATGTTAAAGTAGTCTTTGACATTTTTTGTTACTATCTCTTGTTTACCTTTGCTGGTTTACTTCCACCTGTATGGAAGCTAGGTTTTGATAAGAAGATTCTGTCTTTTTAAACAATTTAGAGTCTACTTGTAGTTATGCTCAGGCAAATCAGCTGCTCCTCTTACTCTATAGATTCTACAAATGACTTGCAAATGAAGTGTGAACTTATGCTTTACTCATGTGAAATGCATTAACTACAAAGTTAAGCATATGATTTATGCTTCGGTTGCAAGTCGTTTGTTGAAGCATACACCTCATCCTCATCTTCTTGTATGCATGAAGGGGTTTTCCGTCAAAAATCCTCAAGGCAGCCTCATTTACTTCTTTTAGAACACTGTTCAGATGAGTAGTCATGTGCTAATTGTAGGCTATCTAAAAATCACAACAGATATCTTATCCCCATCAAACACCGATGACGGAAGTTACAATTTAACGACTTCCAGAAGGCTACAATTTGAAGACTTTCACGTACAAAGTTACAATCTGACGACCTTCACCACAACTAATGAAAGCTCTAATTCAACAGCCTTCACAATCAACATCGGGAGTTACAATCTGATGACTCATAATGAAGACGGTGAATGATGACCCACATGGACAGCGCCAAAAAGGGCTTGTGCCACATACAGCCCCAAACAGTGAAATCCTCTGGGTTCATCCCGATCTGATTAAAGATGAACAATGGGCTGGATCGTCATCCAAGAAGAAGTCCAAAGAGAAAGGAAAGTCTTGCTGCGGAGTCTCTGCTATCCCAGGAGAAGATGACGAAAGAATCATAGCTTTCCCGCTCTCTGAAGAAGAACAAGAAGTCTTTGCGACCCGAAGCGGAAACGAATATCACTACAACTATTTACTGGAGATTTTGACAAGATGGTCGCGCTTCAGCGGTTGTTGGAACCCTATGGAATCTGTGAGGTTTGTTTCTCAACTCGAATAATTTGTATTAATATCTATATACTGTAGAAATTTAACTTAAGAGTTTTCATTACTTTGAAACTCTTTAAAAAATGTTTGGTCAATCACCCTTCTTGATTTTCCCCCCTCTATTCCATATGCACTACAGTTGACGAACTACCAGATATATTACTCTGACAAAAGCAGATTCGTTAATATGGTTTTATTTAGCATTCATGTTCTAGCAGTCATCATAGGGAAATTATGTAGTTCTTGTTGTTGCATGTTAAAGTAGTCTTTGACATTTTTTGTTACTATCTCTTGTTTACCTTTGCTGGTTTACTTCCACCTGTATGGAAGCTAGGTTTTGATAAGAAGATTCTGTCTTTTTAAACAATTTAGAGTCTACTTGTAGTTATGCTCAGGCAAATCAGCTGCTCCTCTTACTCTATAGATTCTACAAATGACTTGCAAATGAAGTGTGAACTTATGCTTTACTCATGTGAAATGCATTAACTACAAAGTTAAGCATATGATTTATGCTTCGGTTGCAAGTCGTTTGTTGAAGCATACACCTCATCCTCATCTTCTTGTATGCATGAAGGGGTTTTCCGTCAAAAATCCTCAAGGCAGCCTCATTTACTTCTTTTAGAACACTGTTCAGATGAGTAGTCATGTGCTAATTGTAGGCTATCTAAAAATCACAACAGATATCTTATCCCCATCAAACACCGATGACGGAAGTTACAATTTAACGACTTCCAGAAGGCTACAATTTGAAGACTTTCACGTACAAAGTTACAATCTGACGACCTTCACCACAACTAATGAAAGCTCTAATTCAACAGCCTTCACAATCAACATCGGGAGTTACAATCTGATGACTCATATTTTCAAGGAGCCAAGACGAAGGTTACAAGGTGATGATCTTTGCAACGCTCTAGCAAAAGAGACTACAAATTGACGGTCTCTTTATATTAAAACACAGATATCTCTCAAATCGTAAGGAATTTGGCAAAACCGACGGAGCAAACCGAACCCTATGAGGTTGATTTGGTCGGCTCCGTCTCATCGAGATAGCCGATTTTCATATATAATTCGTCCAATTCCGACTTACGGTTTGAAAGTTATGACCTGTTCTTCGCAGCAAGTTATGTTCTGAAGTCCGTCTGTAAGACTGGACTTCGTCTGAACATTGGACTTAGGCTGAAGTTCACCGAGCCTGCCAGAGGCTCAGCTCTGCATCCAAGATTCAAAACGCAGAGGTCATGCCCGCGTTCCAAACTCAAAACGCAGAGGTCATGTCCGCGTTCTAAACTCAAAACACACAGGTCGTGACCACATTTGAGATTCAAAACGCAGAGGTCATGCCCGCGTCCCAGATTCAAAACGCAGAGGTCGTGGCAGCGTTCCAAACTCGAAACGCAGATTTCGTGGACTTGAAACGCAAAGTTCAACTCTGCGTCCAATGACAAAAACGCACAGTTCATGCAGAGCCCAACTCTGCGTCCCAGGTCCAAGACGCACAGTTCATGCAGAGCCCAACTCTGCGTCCCAGGTCCAAAACGCACAGTTCATGTAGAACCTAACTCTGCGTCCCAGGTCCAAAGCGCAGAGTTCATCGCGACCTGTGCGTTTTCAGCCTAAAACAGACCCAACTCTGCGTTTCAGGTCTAAAACGCAGAGTTCGGGCCCAGAACGCTGTTTTCAGCGTTTGACTCGTTCAAGCACGATTTGAACGGTTCCAGAATCGTTTTCTCCCCACGATTTGAGGGGATCACTACCCTATCATGGAGAGATTTATGGGGGGCAGTTACACCCTATTAAACCCTCAATAAGAAGAGATTTAAGGGGGCGGTTACACCCCTAAATCCCCTATAAATAGTGAAAAACTCAACTGAGTTCGGATGCTCTTTTTGGACTGACTTTTTGGGGATCCTTGATCGGGCATCTTAGAGCTTTTTGCAGCAACAAAATCCTTGGAGCATTCCCTTGGCTGATTAACCGAACTTTCGGTTCAAATCAACTCTTTTTCAAGAGTTCAAACTCGTTCAGAGTTAAACTCGATCTGAGTTATCAACTCGTCCAGAGTTTTCAACTTGCTCTGTAAGTTCTTCTAAACTCGGTCAGAGTTTCAAACTTGCCACGCAAGTCCTCCACAACGTCAAATCGTGAGGAGAAGACCATGTTCCAGTGAATCGAGACGTTCGGATCGTCAACGGAGAGCAAACTCGACGCGAGTATTCGAGGGAGGTACTTCATCGCCACCGTGAAGAACCCAGAATTAAACAAATGGAAGAATCCAGATCATTCTCCTCTCTTTTGTAATCGAAATCCAAATTGTAATCGATTTTGAGAGAATACAAATCAATTTTTCTTTCATTTCTTTTACATCAAATTTTCCAGAAACACTAATGTTGCACCTATCTTTGCATTAAAATTTTCTTTCCGAAAACACAAAGGGAAAGAAGTGAAAAAGGCATTTCATCTTTCTTTATTTCTTAATTGTATAACTTGCTCATTTATGCTTTGCAGGTAGCTAGAACCGGTCGTGTTGCATTGGCTCGTGAATCGGGAGTGGATTCTAAGTATTTGCGTGGGTATTCATTTCCACTCTAGTCATGGTAGCCATGCTTTGAAGTCAAAATGTACATTGGTAGTTTTTTGAGTGAAGTTTTGTAGCTGGTATGTATAATTATCAGCTGTTTTGGATATGGGCTTAAACTTATGGCTTCATTTCGCTGGAAAAGATCGCCAAAGGGTGCCTTCCTTTTAAATAAATAACTGCTATGTTTTAATAATCTGTGCATAATTTATTTCTGAATGTTGCGTTATTTCAGGATTATTACTTTTCATGAATGAGATACTTGTGACGACCTCTTCTCATATTTTTGTTATTACTTTTTCAACGTTTAACCCAATTCTTGTTGTGGCCATCTTCTTTGGCACGGAATGCACAAATTCAACTTTCTAATGAGCTGTGTATACCGCATTTTGATGATGATGGATCACTTCACCTGCTTTCTCAAGACACTTGACACACTGTTTTGGTTAGGTTGCTTGATTCTGACACCACCAAGCATTCTCTTTAAGGTGGAATACAATTCTTTAACTGGGACATGGTTGTTCACCATTAAAATTGATGTGCTAGATGTTGACGGAGTGCAGACATGGATCATCATTGCATACAATGATCAATTGAGATCAGGTAATTATCTTTTTAATCTTTTATCGCCGAGACCATAGGAAGGAGCAAATACATTGATTCCTCAAATCAGATATCAAAAGAAACGGAGATCACCACCACGCAGTCTTGCAGAGAAGCAAGCAATGTTCTAACAGAGTAAAGCGGAGAATGGCATCAAATTTTTGCGAGACAAAGCAAGGCATGCTCATTGGAGATGGTAAAGTTATGGCTGAGACAGAAGAAAATCCAATAGTTCTCTATTAAGGTAGTTTAGATCTATTCGTTAGGGTCTTCCTCGAGAAGCAATGGAGTGCAAATCGAGACACTGATGCGCTACGTTTTAATGGTAGTTGCATATTTGAATCTGCAACAAAAATATTTGAACCCAAATTTCAAACATGAAATGTATTTACGGCTGCAGCATTCACCATCAGGAGAAGAAATTTGCAAGTCATCATGCTTGTACATAATAATTTGGATCTAAAAGTAAGTTACAATCACCTCTTCAGTTGTGCAATGGTGATCCGGAGGAGAACGAAGTGGATGGTAATTGTGAAGTCATGGTACATGCCATCATACAAAATTTAAAGAGCAATGATGGAAGAGCAATACATGCATCACCCAAAGTGGAAAGATTTGTCGGGCTCTACCAGAACCATTCTTGACTCGCATCCACAGCCTTGATGTTGGTCGCTACTAGGGGCACAGCTCCGTAGAGGGAAATGAAGTCGTTGAGGCATTTGTCCCTCTTCTTTGTATGACCTTTTAAGCTGCTGATGCCTGAGGATCCTATCTCATATATCCTTGCTGTAACAAGTACCAAAAAATATCAAGGACAAAATTCATGGTAATATCCCGTCCCTTATTTGAAGGGGCATGTATTAGTAACTCAGCATTTACCTCTGACCCAGATTGGTGGAGCTCCAGATGCATTGGCAACAAGCAACGACATGGCAATGTCTTCACAGTTCCTAGAGGATGTAGGATAAGGCCTGGCGAGTGAGAAGATAAACACATCTAAAAACCCGTATTAAAGAACTTACAGAATCAATGACAAAGTCGGACCTTTCTATGGTTATATAATCATGAATCGAGGAAGGCATGTCATAAGTGTACACGTCCAGGTATTTGCGATGGAAAAATGCTGCTTTCGAGAGAATCATACTGTACGTACCCATCCACCACACCGACCACCAACCTCCATATTTGTAGTATGTTATACCATTCTCCTGCGCGCCACAGCAATATATTATTATACACGTCTCGGGAAATCTGAATGGCTATGTCTTAGAAAGCTCCCTTCGTCGTGTCAAACAATCATGAAATATATATATATATATCTGTGGGATCGATGCATTTTATCTAGCAGCTAGCACAGATTATTGTACCTGGTGGTGCAGCCAATGCATGCGAGGAACAAACCCGACCATTGTGTGGGGAGCAGTTTGCCAGACTGAAAATGCAAGATTCAGAGCGGGGCACGGCACAATCACGTCGTCATCCACTGAGAACACGGCGTCATTTGCGACATCTTGGATTGGTTTAAATCTATTGTTGAGATTGTCCTCCTCATTAAGTTCAAACCTGAGACTGGGCTTATGAGGAGCTTGGGATATGATTTGCGTAAGATAAGCGTCTAGACTGTCTGGTGGCTTATCGCTCTCGCTCCAAACAACACGAATGGCATGGGTCTGGCTGCAGGTTGCATAATGAGCCACGGCTCTCTTCAGCATCGGGTGGCGCTTCCAAGTGTTTATCACTACCGTGTACCCACCCCTGATTGAGTGTCCAATTTTAACATCCTAATCTTACATAGAAGAAGAGGTAACAAAGCCACACACACAAAATAAAAAATAAAAAAAAATACCCCTTAATTCGTTGCTGCATCCAAAGTCACAATATTAATTAATTGTATACTGTGTTCTAGCTCATATATAATTATGTTATGTTGTCCGTGCAGGCTATCTATCTACCTACATAACCAGCAGATCGAGCCAACAAAAATTAACTACACGTTGTAGTTAATAATGGAATAGTAGTAATAATACAAACCTGGAAGGAAGAGGAGGAGGAGGAGGTGGTGGTGGTGGTGGGTGATGATTCCAGCCCATGAGATGTGGGAGGCGTTGCTCAAAAACAAGCAGAGTGAAAAAGAAGATGCAACCCCAAAGCAACATCCTCATCTTGAGGACATGAGCTCCATATCCAAGAGCAGTATTTAGAGCCCCCTTCCGAATCCTTGGAACCTGCAGCAGGAGTTTATAGCTGCTGCAGCGACTTGGCTTTCGCCGGTGAGTAGACAACTTCATCCAGGATGCCTACGCTGCTGCTCTTGCTTTTGCTGTTGATAATGGCTTCCGACTTATTAGATGCCAATTCTGATGCTGATCCTGATGCTGATGATCCTCCTCCTCCTCCCCCTAATCCCATGTATGTTGGTTCCCCGCCCACTATCCCAATCCTCCCCCAACTACTTACTATTTACCCTTTACGATGACTGCTGCTATATAAGAGACTCATAGACACGAAGGATGTGGATCTGATTCTACTTTTCGGACAGCAGAAGAATTTTTTTATTTTTTTTCATATTTCCACTTGCAAGAAAGAAAGAAGGAAAGCAAGAAAGAAAGAAAGGTGCTTCCTTTTTCTTGAATTTGGCCTTTAATAATAACCTTTTCGGTCCGGTCCGCCTATCTCTCGAAAATTAGTAAAGGTGGGAGAGCGTGCGCGTCACATGACGAATAATGATCGCTCAGCTCGACTTATGACGCATTAACACCATCCCCTCATGCTCACCGAGGTTGGTCGAGGGACTCCGAGCTGCTGCTACATCAACTATGAATCAATGGAACGGATAAGGATGTACGCGTTTTTAGATTAACTCGACATTTGATAATAAGGGGGTGTTTGTTTTGCTTTTTTTTTTGGATATGATAGTTTTGGGATGTAAAAAGTGCTTTTTTGTGGTTTTAAAAATTCATAACTTTGTTTGTTTCACTTTTTTTTTGAGATATTGAATCCCTAAATTATAAAACAATAATATTTTATTAGGATTTGTGAAATCCTCTCTCTTGTTTCCATCTTTTTTTTGGGATATAAGGTTTTAGAAATCGATAACTTTGTTTGTTTCAAAACCAATTTTGGGATATCAAATCCCAAAATATTAAAAACTATTATATTTAGGCATTTGTGAAATTCTACACTTGAGAGAGGATGTGGGTTGGATATTGATGTATTAATGCTTATAATATAAGATTAATATAAGATTAATATAAGATTAATATTAAGCAAACAAACAAGGGCAGTTTGCTTCGGCCAGAGAACCAAGAAAACACCCCCAGAAAATCATTTTTGGGAAAATACACATTAGCTTTTACATAAATTTGTTCCAATTCCCTTGTTTGTTTCAAAGCTTTCTTTCTCTATTTTTTTTTCCTTTTTTTTGGAAGTGGCTTCTTACAACTATGAGAAAATACGTTTCGGACTTTTTTACTCTCAAATGGGTAATAAAAGAGAACAAAATATTAAGAGAATGTGAGGTGGCTTCTTCGGAACCACCCAAATCATTTCCTACGAATTTAGTTTCAAATTATTATTTTCTCACCAAATAAACAATAGACATTGTGGTTTTCTAGGAATTGAGGTTGTTTTTGAACCAACCAACTAAGAAAACAAAAACAAATCTGAAAAGTCATCGGGAAACATAAAAAGTAGTTTTTTTGGCCCCTCAAAATTGGATTTTTGTCAAAATCAGGGTTTTCAACCAAACAGCCCAAAATAAGGGTCCGGTTAGTAAGTTATACATCTAATTATTATCACTTACTTTACAAACTTGCAAGATGATCGTATTAAGTATGACCATCGTGAATCATCATGATTTCTTCTACTAGAAACGCTAATGATGGAGACCGACTCATAGGTTTACTTGGATACCCATGAGTCGTCTGATGGTTTCTCTAAATTAGGTAAGACTTTTTGTTAGATGGACCCACTTAGGATTAATTTTGTAAGCAGAATTTGAGTTGGGCCATGTTGGATGTTGTGGGCTTAAAGTATATGGATGTGTGTCGGGTTATATATAAGACTTTTTGTCTATGTTAGATGGGCCCACATAGCATTAGTTTTTTTAGGCAGAATTTGAGCTGGGCCACGTTGGATGTTGTGGGCCTTAAATTATTTGGAGGCGTGTCGGTTATATCATATCATAGCATACTCCATTTAAAAGCACGAGTTCGAGAAAATCTTTCGATAGACAAAAATACCCCTAAAAGTTTGAACTATCCTATACTAATCAAATTTTAATTTTTAATACTAATCCATCATTAGCCTAGAAAATTAATAAATTCTTAGTAGATATACATAGTATAAAGATAAGGAAACAAATTGTATATAGATTATATTGGACTTAAGAAACTTAATTACATTCTCATCCTATTCTATGCACTAATATTTACCTACAACTATCTTTACCAATTATTGGATACCTCAATTTCAGATAAATAATTCTCCCCCACCACCTCTAAAAAGAGTTGTCTCCTTTTATGGAATAGAAAGAGTGAGGTCATTTCTACGCTAGAATAGTGATATAGTGATTACATAGTCTCAAAGTCAAAGAAGAAATTTCTAGAAAGAAAAAATAATTTAATATGTCAAATTAAGAAGTAATTTATAAAATATACATGGGCAGTGCAGATAGCTATAGAAAATAAGGTATATATCTTCATGAAATTTTCATAGTGAGTGACCAACTACAACCTTCCTAATTTAAGCATAAATAATTATTATTTTAATTACTAATACGATACACGTAACTATGGATTAAATCTCAAGTGAAAAATAGGAATTGAGATTGTATTATGTTGTGGATAAATAAATAAATGTTATTCGAACTCCTCTTTATATTAAATTTAAAAGTAATAATTTAAATTATTAAGCACCAAATATTAGCTCATGTGAGAAAGTAAAGTAATCTATAGTTTATATACATATATAGTCAATTAATCAAACGTATTAAAATTATGATGACCACAGTCAAAATTATATGGTAAGTTTATATTAAATATAATTTATAAAAAATAGTACATTAAAGTCAAAATCTTTTTAACCATTATATAGATTGTCTGAAAAATTTTGCATATATAAATTATACTACCGAGGAATAGTTATGTGCACACTTAACTATGGTCTAATAATCTTAAAAATGACTAACTCGTTAATATCATCATTATTGACGTATCTGTGCATTACACTGATAACACAATGAAAATTTAGAAAACTACAAAATAAACACCCTCAAAAGTTTTAAAAATTGTGATAACACCCTAAAATTTTATAATTTATAAATACACAAAACTATTAAACATTACATTAAAATTAAAGAATTACAAAAAATATTAAAAGTTTTTAAACTTTAGAGGGGTAATTTGCAATGTACTAAACTTTAAGGGTGTTTTTTTGTAAATTTTATATGTAATAGATTTTCAATTAGTTATGTTATTTTTAAAAAAGTTATGTGTAATATTAACCATGAAATTTTTTCCTAAACCTATACTTTTAAAATGTGTATGATATTTTTTTACAAAAATTTAATTTTTTTAGGGGTTGTTAGTAATTTTACATATTCATTTTAGTGTCTACAGGTTAGAAATTCTCATGATGTTTTTTTTGTAAATTATGAATTTTAGGGGCTTTTTACAATTTTTTAACTTGTAGGCCTTTTCTACAGATTATAAATTGTTTATAGACTATTTTATAATTCCTATGCTTTCAATTTACTAATTAACTTGAAATTCTCAGGGTGTTTTTGTAAATTTTAAATTTTAAATGTTTTTTTATAATTTTTAAAGTTTTAAGGGTGTTTTCTATAAATTATAAATTATGTAGGGGTATTTGTAATTTCTATATTTTTAATGTACTGTTAGGTTCGAAATTATCAGGATTTTTATAAATTTTATAATTTTGAAGGTTTTTTATAATTTATAAAATGTTCAGAGTGTGTATTTGAAAGTTCTATAAAATTTTAGGGGTTGTTTTTGTTATTTGTAGGTTTTTAATGTATTTATAGGTTTGAAAATGTATTTTTTATAAATTTTGAATTTTTAGGGGTATTGTTGTAATTTTTAAAACGTACAAGATATTTTTTTCAAAGTAAAAAACTTTTAGTTTCTAACTAGCATATGGTTTTCAGATTTCTCACTGAATTGAAATTAGTAAACATTTGTAATTTTTAAGATGCTTTAATAAATTTTTAAATTTGTAGGGGTGTTTTGCAATTTAAAAAACTTAAAGAATATTTTTTACAAAGTCCAAAAAAATTTAGGTGATGGCTAGCTAATGTTTTTTTAATTTCTCTACGAACTGAAATAAGTGAATGATTTAAATTATATGAAACGTATTACTTTTATCCAATAACATGTTATGTCTTATTATGAATAGAATAAATCATTTAGTTAGTAATTCAAAGAAGATATGATAATTAGAATAGATCAGAATAACAATGTAATATTCAAAAAAACTAAGAGTAATATTTGATCATAGAAATATTTTCCTGAACTCGTTCTTTTTGCAAAGGAGTATATATATATATATATATATACTATATATATACTGAGTCAGTATATATATATATATAGTATATGAGAGCAGAGAGAGAGAGCAGGCAGAGAAATTTTTATGTCCAAATTTAATGACTTTCCACCAAAACTTTCTACTCTTATTGATGATACCTAGGGATCAAGTGCCAAGCATATGAAGAGAATTTATATATATATACTATATATATATACCTATACTAGTATATAACTATATATATATATATTATAGTATATATTATTATATATATATAGTATATATATATATAATATATATACCCATATAGTAAGGTAGGATAGAAAGTTCTGGTGGAACAAATGACTCTTCTCATATATACTATATATATATATACTACTATATATATATATCGGTAATTATGGAACGCCCGTAAGGGATGCCCTCCTTAATAGGTGCCGATCTTAACGCGGGTGCAACAATATCAGCCATCACTCAAACCCAATCTCAAAATAATCTACAGCCCTTCCTTCAAAAACACATCCCCCCAAAAAATCGCTCACCCGTTCTTCCTCTTTTCTTCAAAACCAAATCTCAGCCCTCTCCTCTCCTCTGCCCGACTCCGCTGTCGGCCCCGTGTTTGCCCGCCGTCGCTCGAGGCAAGGCGTCGCGTGGCCATGACCTCGAGTTCGGGCACGGCCGTGCTCCGCGCATCACCCCTTGCTTCTCATTTCAGAACCAACCTCTCAGCCCCGTCCCTCCA